TCGACTCAAGGGCAGTTAACAACAACAAGCAACAAGATTGTGATTACTACAGCAGCAAGTCAGCATTTAAATGCTCAAATTAGATAGGTTTGTATGAAGAGTACACCATTGTTTTATAATGACAACAAGATCCTGTCTTATCTTAGAAACTAAGCAGGGTCAGCTCTGGTTAGTACTTGAATGGAAGATCTCCAGCAAATACCAGGTGCTGTAGGCTATATTTCATAGAAAGAAAAGAACTATCAATACCACCTCTTAGTATTCATTCATTACCTAAGAAACCCCTATGAAATTCATGCGGTTAACAGATAACTTGAAGATACACACACACACACACACACACACACCACTTTGAGTAAAGGATTTGCTACTGTACTCCTTTAGACTCAGTCTATTTGCTTGCCACTAAGCAGACCAGTAGACAAATGATAACAAGAGATAAGGACAGAGCTGAGAATCTAGTACTCCACAGATAAGAGCACTCTTGAAACAATCTCAGCAACTAATGATCATTGACAGGAACATTAATGTGATGAAGAAAATGCAAACATAAAATAGCAAGTTTGTATAGCATGCACTAGAAACTTAGGACTGGATAGAAAAATCTGTGAAATCAGATAATAGCTGAGTATGCAGATTAAAATAGTGTTTGCAAGTGATGATGCTAGTTCAGTAGTCCAAAGAAAGCAGTTTGGAGAACAGCAGTTAAAAAATATCAAGGGTTAAGAATATGTTTAAGTTTTATTTAATATATAAATAAAAGTTTTATTTAATATATAAATTCATATACCAATCATCCCTCCACCTCTACTGAGTGGTTACAAACTGTGCTGGAAATGCAAAACTTAATGAAATTTGCTGTCACAAATGAAATATCACCACTTCAGAAGAAGCTATCAATATTATTCCTTCAGTTGCAGAGAGGAATACATAAGATGTTGAAAAATGTAACTTTAATCAGAATATTCTTTTTTTAATAAAAACAACTAATGAATATTTGGTCCTTTCTGTTTCCCTTTCATGTCAAAGCTATTTCCTTCTTCACTCTCACAACAATAGATCCTACGTTTCCCAGTTAACTAACAGAGATAATTTGATCAAACCACTTCCTACATACTTATTTCTTATTACCAAATGACTTTGAAATCATAGTCTTTTTGACACAGTTATATTTGTGTAATATTTATAAACCAATGCTTACAGTACAGGGTGGGGAAAAGAAGAGGATAAAAGGGTTTGGATCCAGAAAAGCGTATCTGCTAAATTCTACTTCTGATAACCCACTAATATTTTTGATCCGTTTCAAGTACAAAATGCCTTCTGGTCTTTGTACATAAAACCTTTTGCAAACCTATTACAGTTCCTTGCTGTTTTAACCAAAAGCCGCAGAGGATAACATAGGAAGGGGCAGTCAAGTGCAGGTGGTAGTGCATGCTCAGCAGCCCAAATGAATTAAATGGGGCATGCCATAGGCCTGACCTCATAGGTCCTTCTGGGGTAAAAAGCATCCCAACCTCTCATTAGTTCCCATCCTTGGATTGCAACATGGACAGCTCCAGGGTACTAAAGATGCCAGGAACAGGAAATTTCAAAAGCCCACATCAGGATGATTTATATCATGTTGCTAACTCATGTTGTTAAATCTGCCTGAGCAAAGGTGATTTCCCAAGCCAAGGTGCAAAAGGCACACAGAGAATCTAATATTTCTGAACTGGAATTGTCCAGTTCAGATAATTTGGTTTTCTTTTCCTTATCACTCAGGACAAGTAATACAAAGATGCATGCTTAATTTTTTTATTATTTCTTCTTGTCACTCCTCGAAGGTGATGCATCAATGGGAAAAGAATGGAAGAGGAAGAGAAACTACTTCCAAAGTTTCTTAAAAGACTAAGGTCTAATGTGCACTGCAGAAATAATGCAAGTCTGACACCACTTTAAGTGCTGTGGCTAATGCTAAATATTTCACAAAACTACAAATCCCAGCATTGAGCCATGGCAATTAAAGTGGTGTCAGACTGCATTATTTCTGCAGTGCACATTAGACCTAAGATCTGATTTTAAATCAATGGACCTCTCTCTCTCTATCTCTCTCCAATACCACTGGTCAGTACCTCAGGCATTTTGTGCTTTCAGCACTGTTCAATTCTTCTGCACTTTTAATTTGCTGTAATATACTCTCATGGTGAACTTTTCCATTTTCTTACAATTCAGAATAATTCAAAACAATGCAACAATGTGCAATCAGGCAATTTTGAGTTTCACTGGGTTTTTAATTTTATCATACAACAGAATAACAAATGCCTACCAAATGCTATCCATGAAAACCAACATGGCAAAGATAAATATGTCAGGCTTAATTAGACAGACATTGTTTGAATGAATATCCATTTATTTATCCTTTTAACCCAACATCAAGAATTATTCTGAACATATGATTTACAGCCAGAATAACACTACTGCTGAAAAGTTTGAAAAACAGGAGATGAGCACACAAAGTAAACTGGATGTCCCTGTTACCAATTCATTGTCAGGGATCTTGAAAATTCCACAATGGTTCTAATGCTCTAAAATATTTGATTTAAAAAATAATTAAAAACTGAGTTCGTCTAGCTCAGCGCAACTGTAAACTTTCAACGTAGCCCCGTGTATACATGCTTTTTGCTGCAGAATTATGGCTCCATGGGCACTTCTTTCTCACAGTTGACTGTGCACAATTGTGCCTACATCTCTGTTTGCTAAAGTGAAGTGAAGAAGAGTAGAATTCAGATGCAGGAAGGTTTTATCTATTCC